TCCTTGTCTAGTGCCAGATTTCAAAGGGAACGCTTCCAGTTTTTGCGCATTCAGTATGATATTGGCTGTTGGTTTGTCATAAATAGCTTTTATTACTTTGAAATACGTTCCATTGATACCGAGTTTATTGAGGGTTTTTAGCATAAAGGGCTGTTGAATTTTGTCAAATGCCTTCTCTGCGTCAATTGAGATAATTATGTGGTTTTTGGTTTTGGTCCTTTTTATGTGGTGAATTACGTTGATAGACTTGCGTATGTTGAACCAGCCTTGCATCCCCGGGATGAATCCTACTTGATCATGATGGATAAGTTTTTTGATTTGCTGTTGCAATCGGCTTGCCAATATTTTATTGAAGATTTTTGCATCTATGTTCATCATGGATATTGGCCTGAAGTTTTCTTTTCTTGTTGGGTCTCTGCCAGGTTTTGGTATCAGGATGATATTGGTCTCATAAAATGATTTGGGAAGGATTCCCTCTTTTTGGATTATTTGGAATAGTTTCAGAAGGAATGGTACCAGCTCCTCTTTGTGTGTCTGGTAGAATTCGGCTGTGAACCCATCTGGACCTGGGCTTTTTTTGTGTGGTAGGCTCTTAATTGCTGCCTTGACTTCTGACCTTGTTATTGGTCTATTCATAGTTTCAGCTTCCTCCTGGTTTAGGCTTGGGAGGACACAGGAGTCCAGGAATTTATCCATTTCTTCCAGGTTTACTAGTTTATGTGCATAGAGTTGTTTGTAATATTCTCTGATGATGGTTTGAATTTCTGTGGAATCTGTGGTGATTTCCCCTTTATCATTTTTTATTGCATCTATTTGGTTGTTCTCTCTTTTATTTTTAATCAATCTGGCTAGTGGTCTATTTTGTTGATCTTTTCAAAAAACCAGCTCTTGGATTTATTGATTTTTTGAAGGGTTTTTCATGTCTCTATCTCCTTCAGTTCAGCTTTGATCTTAGTTATTTCTTGTCTTCTGCTGGGTTTTGAGTTTTTTTGATCTTGGTCCTCTAGCTCTTTCAATTTTGACGATAGGGTGTCAATTTTGGATCTCTCCATTCTCCTCATATGGGCACTTATTGCTATATATTTTCCTTTAGAGACTGCTTTAAATGAGTCCCAGAGATTCTGGCATGTTATGTCTTCATTCTCATTGGTTTCGAAGAACTTCTTTATTTCTGCCTTCATTTCATTGTTTATCCAGTCAACATTCAAGAGCCAGTTGTTCAGTTTCCATGAAGCTGTGTGGTTCTGGGTTGGTTTCTGAATTCTGAGTTCTAACTTGATTGCACTATGGTCTGAGACACTGTGTGTTATGATTTCAGTTGTTTTGCATTTGCTGAGCAGTGCTTTACTTCCAATTATGTGGTCAATTTTAGAGTAGGTGTGATGTGGTGCTGAGAAGAATGTATATTCTGTGGATTTGGGGTGGAGAGTTCTGTAAATGTCTATCAGGTTTGCTTGCTCCAGGTCTGAGTTCAAGCCCTGGATATCCTTGTTGATTTTCTGTCTGGTTGATCTGTCTAATATTGACAGTGGAGTGTTAAAGTCTCCCGCTATTATTGTGTGGGAGTCTAAGTCTCTTTGTAAGTCATTAAGAACTTGCCTTATGTATCTGGGCGCTCCTGTATTGGGCCCATATATGTTTAGGATCGTTAGCTCTTCTTGTTGTATCGATCCTTTTACCATTATGTAATGGCCTTCTTTGTCTCTTTTGATCTTTGTTGCTTTAAAGTCTATTTTATCAGAGATGAGAATTGCAACTCCTGCTTTTTTTTTCTCTCCATTTGCTTGGTAAATCTTCCTCCATCCCTTTATTTTGAGCCTTTGTGTATCCTTGCATGTGAGATGGGTTTCCTGGATACAGCACACTGATGGGGTTTGGATTTTTATACAGTTTGCCAGTCTTTTGATTGGTGCATTTAGTCCATTTACATTTAGGGTTAATATTGTTATGTGTGAATTTGATACTGCCATTTTGATGCTAGGTGGCTGTTTTGCCCGTTAGTTGTTGTAGATTCTTCATTATGTTGATGCTGTTTAGCATTTAGTGTGATTTTGGAATGGCTGGTACTGGTTGTTCCATTCTCTGTGTAGTGCCTCTTTCAGGAGCTCTTGGAAAGCAGGCCTGGTGGTGACAAAATCTCTGAGTACTTGCTTGTTTGCAAAGGATTTTATTTTTCCTTCACTTATGAAGCTCAGTTTGGCTGGATATGAAATTCTGGGTTGAAAGTTCTTTTCTTTAAGGATGTTGAATATTGGCCCCCAGTCTCTTCTGGCTTGTAGTGTTTCTGCCGAGAGATCTGCTGTGAGTCTGATGGGCTTCCCTTTGTGGGTGACCCGACCTTTCTCTCTGGCTGCCCTTAGTATTTTCTCCTTTATTTCAACCTTGTTGAATCTGACGATTATGTGCCTTGGGGTTGCTCTTCTTGCGGAATATCTTTGTGGTGTTCTCTGTATTTCCTGCATTTGAGTGTCGGCCTGTCTTGCTAGGTGGGGGAAATTTTCCTGGATAATGTCCTGAAGAGTATTTTCCAGCTTGGATTCATTCTCTTCGTCACATTCTGGTACACCTATCAAACGTAGGTTAGGTCTCTTCAAATAGTCCCACATTTCTGGAGACTTTGTTCATTCCTTTTTGCGCTTTTTTCTCTGATCTTGGTTTCTTGTTTTATTTCATTAAGTTGATCTTCGACTTCTGATATTCTTTCTTCTGCTTGGTCAATTCAGCTGTTGAAACTTGTGCATGCTTCACGAAGTTCTCGTATTGTGTTTTTCAGCTCCTTTAATTCATTCATATTTCTCTCTAAGTTATCCATTCTTGTTATCATTTCCTCAAATCTTTTTTCAAGGTTCTTAGTTTCTTTGCATTGATTTAATACATGTTCTTTTAGCTCACAAAAGTTTCTCATTATCCACCTTCTGAAGTCTATGTCATTTCGTCACAGTCATTCTCTATCCAGCTTTGTTCCCTTGCTGGTGAGGAATTTTGGTCCTTTCTAGGAGGCGAGGTGGTCTGGTTTCGGGTGTTTTCCTACTTTTTGCGCTGGTTTCTTTCCATCTTTGTGGGTTTATCCACCTGTCATCTGTGTAGTTGCTGACTTTTCGATTGGGTCTCTGAGTGGACACCCAGATTGTTGATGATGAAGTATTTCTGTTACTTGGTTTTCCTTCTACCATTCTAGCCCCTTTGCTGTACGACTGCTGAGGTCCACTCCAGGCCCTGCTTGTCTGGGGTGCACCTATAGCAGCTGCGGAACAGTGAGGGATGCTACCAGTTTCTTTTTCTGCTATCTTTGTCCCAGAATGATGCCTACCAAATGTCAGTCTTTTGGATATAGAGGGGTCAGGGAGCTGCTTGAGGAGACAGTCTGTACTTTATAGGAGCTCAATTGCTGAGCTGTGAGCTCTGTTGTTCATTCAGGGCTGTTAGGCTGCTATGTTTAATTCTGCTGCAACAGAACTCATAAAAAAAAAACCCTTTTTGTCTCGGATGCTTTGTCTCGGGAGGGTTGGGGCTTTCTTTGTGAGTGTTTGTTGTGCTGTCCTGCCCAGCTAGGAGGCAGTCTAGTCACTATTTGCCTGCTGAGGCTCCGACCTGCTGGTGTGAGGTTCGCCCTGTTGCTGCAGGCTCTGCCCTGCTGCTGCGGTCTCTGCCCTGCTGCCATGGGCTACGCCCAATGGCGGAGTCTCTCTGTTGTACCGGGTTGCCTCGGCAACAGCAGGCTGCGTCAGCAATGGGCGTGTACCTCAGTAGGGGCGGATTGCCTCGGTAATGGCGGATGCCCCTCCCCCACGGAGCTGCACCGTCCTGGGTTCAGCTGTGCCCTCAGGGAACCTCTCCACCCAGAGCATTTGGAATTGCCGTTTTGTTTGTCCCACTGCGCTACCCCAAACGCTGTTTCCCTGGAATCTCCTGGGCTGGCTCACTGTCCAAGTCCCATTCAGTCTCAAGTTCAGCCCTCTCAAGTCTCAGATTGCCGGTTCAACAGGGCATCCGGACCAGTGCGCTTTGTGCAGAGCGCTGTGTAGCGCCGCTGTGCTACAGCGCCGGCTGCCAGCCGCACCGGCCACACCAGCTGCCGGCTGCCAGCTGCACCAGCCAAAACCTCTGCCTGGCATCCTGCGTCTCTTTTATACCTGGGAATTTCCCCATTCTGTGGGCAACAAAAATCCGTCTGGAAATGCGGCCCTGACTCACCCTCTCCGCGCATTCACTGAGAGCTTCAATCCTTGGGTTGTTCTCACCGCGCCATCTTGAGTCCCCCTCGCCTTTTTTTTTGAGACAGAGTTTCGCCCTTGTTACCCAGGCTGGAGTGCAATGGCACGATCTCGGCTCACCACCACCTCCGCCTCCTGGGTTCAGGCAATTCTCCTGCCTCAGCCTCCTGAGTAGCTGGGATTACAGGCACGTGCCACCATGCCCAGCTAATTTTTTGTATTTTTGGTAGAGACAGGGTTTCACCATGTTGACCAGGATGGTCTCGATCTCTTGACCTTGTGATTCACCTGCCTCGGCCTCCCAAAGTGCTGGGATTACAGGTGCCTTTTCTTATACTATAGTCATCTTTCTTCCCCTCTCTGTCTCTTTCTTTCATATTTATAAGTATCTTATAAGGAGTATTGTGATTGCATTTAGAGCCCACCCAGATAATCCAGGATAATCTCCCCATCTCAATCACATCTGCAGAACCCCTCTTGTAATGTAAGGTGTTAGTTACAACTACACATTGTTCCAGAAGATAAGCCTAAGAATCTATGGGAGTCATTATTCAGGCACCCACAGAGGCAATGACCGCAGCTGTAAGTCCAAGACCCCGCTAGAGGCATGTGGAATGAGTGAGTCCCTCTCTGAACTTTAGTTGCAACATTACAACCAGCTGGCATTACCTCTGGACAAAAGTTTTCCTATGAATTTTGCCTGCACTGTTCTGTTTGTTGCAATCATGTGAAATTGATCTTTGTGTGGCAGGTGCACACAGACCTTGCGGATCTTTTTGAAACCAGTAGATGGCCAGGATTCATTTCTATTTATTTCCCATGCAAAAGACAAAGTTGCCAACCGTTTGGTGAATATTTCAGAGCTCTGGCCTAGAAGCTCTGGAACCCTGGCTGCTTGGATAACCCACAGGTGCGCTGCTTCTCTGTGCAGTGACTCCCGCTGCTGTCCTTTGATCTCTGATGTTTGCTCTGTGCTGATTTTCTCTTGCCTCCCTTGCTTTCCTCTGTCCACACATCTCAATGAGTCGGCTGTGGCTGCCTCTGTGAGGTCCCCATGTTCCTCGAGTTTGAAGCTTTTATTGTGCTGTCAGGACAGGGAAGCAGCTTTTGCCACTGTGGGAAAAGCAGAAACAGATAAGCCTTGTTGAGGGGCCTGAGAAAGGATCTTTCCTGTTCTGTCCTTGCATGTTGCGAGTAGACTTTGATATTTCGCTTTTGACACCTGAGATGTTTTGTGTACTTACTTCCATATTTTCTATAACATCCCGGATACACGAGGTTGCCAGATCGCTGGATTCTGAATAACTGAAGCAGCCCAGCATCAATCATCCTCTAAGTGAACCCAATGCCCTGAGGCTGCTTCTGTTTTCAGCTTGTTCTGGCTACAGAGGTAATAAGTCTCCTACTGCGTCTTCATTACCAAGATCATTCTGAGCCAGGAAAATAGAGACAAGAAGGGAATGAGAGAATTCTATAGAATTCGATCCTCACTTTTCTTGAGCTCTTTGCTCTGCACAAAACTAAAGCAGATGTTTTGCCATCTTTGCCATCTGTTGTGGCTCCAGATGACACATCTCAGAGGTTCCTGTGACACTTTCATGTTTGTGGAACTCCTGCCTCCCCTTGCCCGTGAAGGTCCTTCCACAGTGACCCCCTAGGGCAGCAGCACGTGCTTCGGCAACCACCGTCCAAATTGATGTGTCCAAGTCTACCTGGTCGGAACTCATTGCTGTACTTCCAAACCCTCTTCACAGTAATGATTATGGTCATAGCAGCTGCCATCTCTGGAATGCCCAGCATTGTGCTGAGGGTTAACCACTTACTGTCTCTTCTACCTATGAAAATAACCTTCTGAAGAGGCTAGAAATATTCCCATTTTAAAGATCAGGAAACCGAGGCTCACAGATGTTAGCTTGCCAAGCATCCTAGTTATTGAGTGGCAGATCTGGGATGTGAATACACCTCTGTCTGGTTTCAAAGCTTATGCTCTTACATTAGCTGTATCTATGGGTGAGACTGCTTCTTAGGACCAAGGGTAATTCTGGAGAGGGGCTCAGCAAGAGGCCACATTTACCTCTTGCAGCAGTTAAGGGAAGCAGCTTTTACACACCGTTTCCTGGCCAGCAGGTGGAATTCGGCCATTCGTGTGTAAAGCTGGTGAGATTTTCCATCCTAAATCTTAGAACTCATGGTTTCCTTCATCAGACTCTCTTTGCCAGCCTCATGCACCTAGTAAGAAGACATATCTGAGCCTCTTGTAAACTGAGCCTTCACCAGGACTTTTACTGTCTGGGTCTCAAATTCACCCCCTCTAATGGAATGCACAATCATGTTTCAGGTCCCCAGATATCAATTCAGCAACAATCCATGTCCAGCATCTTCAAAACGTTTTGCCATTTACTCTTCTCTAGAGTATAGTTACCCAAGTGAATGGCTGCAGGTCCCTCTGGAGGAAGGCCTGGGAGGTTAGCTTTTTCAGTCAGTCTTGCCCTGAGCTTCCTGATGAGCCATCCTTGGCTTATTTTAGTTGTATAAATTGAGCAATAATATTTTGTTGGCTGCTTGTTTTTCCCCTTGAATGCAAATTTCTTTTTTCCATTTCCATAGCTCTCTGTGGGTCAGATCCCCCTAGCTGTCACACCCACTTTGCTGCCCCTTATGATAATTACATTATGATAACTACAGACACCTTGCATTGAACAATAAGTATAACCTCTAACAGTCCCATAGGTACTAGGGAGCCCCGTTCTATATCAGCTACCTTTGGATATCATGCAATAGTCTTGGCCTTCAGAGAAGAGCTCCCACTGACTTTCTTCACGATACTTGCCCTCTCGCCAGCAGATTTTTCTTGCTTTGGCAAATGCAGTATTCTTCTAGGCCCTCTTGTAAAAACCTATCAGCCGTTTGGTTCTCTGACCTTGTGTGGTATATCCATTCTAGCTTGCCTATTTTCTGAGCCTTTCCATCTCTTCCTTCCCCATCCTCCATGATCTGACATCTCCATTTGACTTGGCATCACGTTTTCTAAGCTCCCAACTCCTGGGGTCCTTGCCAGGATGTTAAATGTTGCATCAAAGGAGAGTGCTTCCATAGCAGTACATTTTCCCTATCAAGCTTTGCCTTCCATCCCACCTTGTCCAGCACTCTCTCTAATCCCTCCTGCACATGCTCTTGTGGCCTTGAGGGACATGTTGGCTGGGTCCCACAGCTCTCTGGGCTGTAGTCCATTTCCTCCCTTAGCAGGTTTACACTTTTCTGGCTGGATTATGTTGTGGCTTGACCTTACTTATGGGTCTGGTGGCCAAGAGTAGATTTATGAGGGAATAGGGAGGGAGTTGTCATCCATTGTCTTGCAAAGTAGAACCTCATCATCATCTTCATGCAAAAGCAGGCATTAGCCTTCAAGAAGAGTGGGATATTGTTCCAGGCCTAGAGAACTCGAGATGTTTTAATATATAAACCCAATGTCCCCATCCCACTCTTTCCTAATCACAGAACTGACTCTGGCCTCGTGGACTGCCAGGACTAAACTTCAATGTTGCTTTGAGCATTTCTACTCTTAAAATTAAACCTGGGGCCTGCTTCTCAGCTGTATCTGCCCTTCAGTCACAGAGGATAATAGTCTTTTCATAGGCTTCATATAAAAGCTAAGAGGTCCTCTGGTTTGTATACCTTGCCTCATATTGCTGTTTAATCACTCAGTCTTTTATTAAATTTCTCCAGTGACTTAAAAGCTTCTAGCAACAACCATCTGATTCCATAGTTCTTATAATTACTATTTCCCCCAAAACTCTTAAACACCTGAGATCTCACATCTGCCAGAGCAGTTTCCTCCCTGGTATCATGTCCTAGTTCACCACCAGTGAACATTTGAACAAAGGAATCATAACTGCAAGTGCCTATCACCAGTGAGGAGGTCCTCATTGCAACAGCTAGCAGATGACAGCTCCAACATGCTGCTGGGTCCAACGTTCATAAGTCAAGTTCCACAGCAAACAGACTGTGTGCAGGAGGTTTTCTGGGAGTGGTCTCAGTACCAACCCCTGCGAGGGCTGAGGGAAGCAGAAGTGAGCAGGGGGGATAAACTGTGATCCAGTTGCAACAAGAGACTCGGCCAATCCTGTGGGGAGCTCTGGATCTGGACTCTTTCCAGTAGAGGCAAAAGGGCTGGAACCCTTCATCAACGAGTAAGAGGATGCAGGCTGCCTCCAGGTAAGGGATGTATCTTTGGGTGAGACTGCTTCTTAGGACCAAGGGTAATTCTGGAGAGGGGCTCAGCAGAGGCCACAGTACCAACCTCGTGCAGCAGCTAGGGGAAGTGGTGTTCCCATCCTGATCGCACATCTGGGCAGTGTGTCCCTTCACTTTTTCTCTCCAATGAGAAAGAGCAGAAAAGAATTTTTAAAAAAAAAACTAGCCCCTTTGTTTATTTTTTAAATGATTGTTCTTGTGATTGTAATTTGCAACCTTAATATAAAATGCACTGAATCCACCTTCTACCACGTCAGATATGAGATTTTAACTGTATATTCACATTTACCCGCTTCTCCATCTTTGGTGCTATGATGTCATATATTTTACTTCTATACATGTTATAAACCCCATAGCATATTGCTATTATTTTTACCTTAAACAATTACCTTTTAAGGAAATTAAGCAATGATGAAAAACAGTCGTTCATAGTGCCTTGTGTATTTGCCCTTTTGGGTGTTCTGCATTTCAGTGTCAGTAGAGATACCTTGCTGATCTTGTCAGTAGTTCAGCTAAGAAGAGGTTAAATTGTGATTCCAGATGCCCTTGGTTCCTCATGAGCTAAACTCTGGGATTCTGAATCCAAGCACCATGGGGCATGTTTTCCAGTTTCTCTTCTACTGCCACCTTCTCAACAAAATTTGGGACTGGGTGTGGTAGAGGCAGGCTGAATTATTGGGCTGAGTGCTTTGTTTGGGGCTCCTCCAGATGCCATCCACCCCACCAGCTGGCACAGTCAGGCTCAGCTGAGTCTCCCCAATGCTGCAGAGTCTCCGTGGCTCCAGCAGGACCCTCTTCCATCCTCTAATTTGGGGATCTGGCTCCCTTCCCCACTATGGAAGCTACTCACCATAATGGGCTCACTTCTCTCTGGAGTTCAGGTCATCCAAGATTTCTTGCCCCCACTGCTCTTAACAAGCCTGGTAGAAAAGCACACTTTTAATTTTTGTCCCAGTTTTTCTTGTGGTTCTCTGAAAAACAAAGGTCTTTCCCATTCTCTTACGTTCTAACCAGAAGCAGAGGTCCTCTGCCTGTTTGGTCTTTGCTCTCCTTTCTCCCGTAGTGGATTGGTGTGAGGAGCTGGTATGGATCATATCATATTATGAGCCAGGAAGATCACAGGGCTCTAGTTTATCAAAACTAGTAGCTGGGATGCTCCATGGCTCACTCCCACTGGGAATGATCACTACATCTCCCTTCATCTAAAGGGAAACACCCGTGGAATCACCAGAGCACACACAGCATTGCAGCTGAGGACAGCTGGGTCTTTTCTGTGTGTGTTGCTGTCAAACCACTGTGGTAGAGTTCATCACAGACTCTTTAGACTTCCGTGTGCTCATCTGCAAAGTGAGGAGTTCCTGCTATGCTACCTTAGGGAATAATTCAGCTAGAGCACTTTAAGTTTCTAGCTCAGCTTTTGTATTAAAAAAAAAAAAAAAAAAAAAAAACACCTGAAAAAGGGGCCGGGCACAGTGGTTCACACCTGTAATCTCAGCACTTTGGGAGGCCAAGGCAGGCAGATCACTTGAGGTCAGGAGTTGAGAACCAGCCTGGCCAACATGGTGAAACCCCATCTCTACTAAAAATACAAAAATTAGCCGGTCAGGGTGGTGCACCCCCTGTAGTTCCAGCTATTTGGAAGGCTGAGGCGGGAGAATCATGTGAACCCAGGAGGTGGAGGTTGCAATGAGCTGAGATCATGTCACTGTACTTCAGCCTGGGTGACAGAGCAAGACTCTGTCTAAAAATACAAAAAAATAAAAAAACAAACAAACAGCATTTGGTGATATCTGAGTTCCGGTAATGTGAGAGGTTTCAGTCATGCTATGTCCCTCTTAACTTGTGATGAAAATGTACACACAAGGCACTAATTCTTTATTTTTACAAAATAAGATGGTGGCTAATTTGATTTGAATGGTCCAGTCTGTGAGTGCGCTTCGTGATTTTTAATCCAATTAGTATTGGAGATACTTCTGATTCTAAGGGTATCCAGTTTCTGCTTATGGTATAAGTACTATTTCCTAATGACTCATGTTTCAAGAAGGGAGAAGCTGGGGCCTATGGTCAATAAAAGGGTTCTGTTTACATGGTTTCTTTGTTTTCTGTTATTAAACCCAAGTGGCAGAAATCGTGGGTCTTGCTTTTAGCTCAGATTTCAATAAGCAGCAGAAAACTCTGGACAATTTCAACTTGAAAGTTTGCCATACAAATTAGCATCATTTCTCAACTGGGTCTCAAAACATCCTGCTTGAAGGTAAACAAAAGCTGCCACCATGCTGGAGAACATTCTGGAAGTCTCAGTCCAGAGGTCAGTGGTCAGTCAGCAGTGGGCCAGCTCTTGATTTGATCTGAATTATACAGGCAGATAAACTCCAGAGCCTGATTCACCCCATCCTTGCAGCTCTTCTCCTTCTGTTAGACCTCAAAGTCGGCCTGGACCACTCTCCAAATAAGTAATATTTTCACTGAGAAAATTGTGCCCCAAATCAAATGTTCAGCTCTGTTTTAGTTGGCACGACATCCATTTAATACTCTGAAACTTCTGAAAAGAATGTGTGTTTGTAGTAACATCATGGTGCAATTTTCACACTTAAATTTTTTTCATCAATAAAACTCTTCATCACTCTCCGGGTAATTTAGTAATAAGAAACTTTTCTGTCCTTGGCTCTTGTTGATAAAAGTCACACAAAACCATTTTAGACATAACACAAGTTGTGCCCTATTGCCCTGAGATAAATCAGCCTATGATCCAATTTTTATGTGACAGGAAGGTGAAAAGAAAACAGAGAAAAGTGAAAATGATTGATAGAAAAACACTTTGCAAGAGCCCATCTGTTTGAGGACATGGTTTTTTGAGCTGTGATCCGGCTCATATGATTACGGAATAAAGTTTGTTATGAAGTGCAGTCTTGTTGAGCCCTGTTCAGAGGGGAATGTCGCTAAGCACTTCTGGTGTTATTTCACAAGATGGAATTTAATATCTCTGCTTCTCAGGCTCTCAGGTGACCAGAAAAAAATTGGGAAGATGAATCTTTCATATTTCCAGCAGGAAAAAAAAAATTTCTGGGGCATCTTTACTCACATTGTTGTCTATAATGAATCTAGCTCTGTATATTCAATTAATTATTAAACATACATGAGCCAATCATAACACTATAAAGAAATTAAACAAACGCTGTCCCATCAGCGAAGAGTTGTCGTGGAGCATGAAAAACATACCTCTGTTAAGAAAGTGGAAAACAGGGTGACAGGGAGTGGCCTTGAAATAATTTTTTTTTGGAAGGCTCTGGGAAAATAAAACGAATATTGAACATTGGATCTGGGCTCGTGGCAAGGGGGTAGTGACAAGATTATTTCTTCTTGGCGCTTCCAGAGAGGGAGTTAATTGGATCTGTGGTTTTTAGATTTAGTTGGTGCTTCTGGCATGGCTGCTGGATGGAGCGGGTTCTTGGGTCCATTTTCTTGCTGGGTCCTGTGCCCAGTTCCACAGTGTGAGAGGAAAAGATTCTGCAGTTCATCAGTGCTCAGCATGTTTTGACAGCCTGATGCAATGAGACACACATTTATTTCTGCAACACAGAAAATGTAGATGCCACCAGGCACCAGGGGAAAGGTCCTTTGTGCAGACCCAGATCTCTACTCTTATCTACGCTATTATCTCAAATCCAAAAGGCAAAGTGGGGAGGAGAGAAGATATAGTTAGAAAGTGAATAACACAAACTCCAACCACGAAAGTCAGGTGACCGGGACTGGCTCTTCATTTCCTTACTAATAAAGGGATATAGCCACAAAAGATCATCTCAAAAATTACAGTCTCTCCTCCTGCAAATCTCCTGGTCTAGAATTGGATGAAAATTCTTTTTTTTTATTAGAAGGTTAAAGTCCATGGGTATTAAATATCCTAATATGGTAACACATCTGTTTTTATAAATTATAGACTTTAATTGACCTTTATAATTCAAAATTAATGATTCTAGAAAAATATAATCCATTGAAAATATAAATAGCGAACGGGCATCCCGATTGCATCCAAATTCTTGGGTAAGTTGTAGCAATGAGAAAATTCTATTTGTATTGCTAGTTTACAATTTGCACCATTAGTACACTTTCTCCTAGGTGCGATTGACTACCTTATCCAAACAGTTCAACCCTCTAAATGTCCAACACAAACTAAAGCAACCAAAGACAACAAAAGAAACAAGCACTCCAGCCTGAGTAACAAGAGTGAAACTCGGTCCCAAAACAAACCAACAAACAAACAACAAAAACAAACAAACAAAAAACAACAACAACAATAAGAAAGCAAAACAAGGGGGAAATAGGACCCAGATTCTTGCCTCTGACATCATCCTCAAACAAGAATATGCCTTCGGCTGTTTCCTTTAAAAATTCAGACATTTCTAGTGTTTTACATTTGATCACTCCAGACACTGGGGAAGGATGAGACTGGGAAAAATGTATTCCTTCCAACTTACCTCTTTCAAGGGAGATTCCAGCAGGGCACCTGGTGGAGTTTCAGCAAGAAGCTGGCTTTCCTTGACTCTTTCCCCTTTTCTTCCCTCCCCATATCCTTGGCTTTACTCCAGAAAATATAGAGTACAGCATGATTTCTCTTTGAGGCAACCATGAAGAAAATTTGGAGAAAATTGTAGGGCTTTGCATCTAATTCCAATGTAGCCATTCAGGAGCCTTGTGACTTGTGCCAGTGATTTCTGGGACTCAGTTTCCCAACCTATGAAAGGAAAAATGGAGCTATTTGAATGGTCCCCAAGGTTTCATACAGTTCCAACATTCCTTGGCTCTGATTAATTATACATTTTTTAGCAAGTTTCTCAGAGATTTTTCTTGTTTGCAGAGCTAGAACCTTCTAGAAGGGTTGAAAAAACTAGAGATACCAACTTCATATTATGTAAACCTGTAAGTTTGGAGTAGTCTTTGGTATGTCTCTTCGCCTCAATAAATAAAAATCTTTAGAGATAATTATGATTTGAAATAAATTATTGAGCTAGGTTAGAGTTAATTAAGAAAGAAACATATCGGCACTTAAGTATTTGCTAATTCCAAGATGACCGAGGTTTTAAATATTTAACTTGTAAATATTATGATTCAGACAAACATAACTTTATGAACAAGGAAGTTTAGGAGATTAAAATCCAGGAACACCATGCTGCAGTTGGGTCACGTTATACATTGTGCAACCTTGTGAACTCATATTCATTGTTTGGGACAAGAGACTCCAGTTAAGAATGCATGGGTTTGGGTTGTGGTAGCCTGTTTCTTCAGATTGCTGTTCATCATTGTTCCTTCCTTTGCACTTTAAAAATTCTAGACCAATCTTTAGAAAAGCTTCCCCAAATATCAACAAGTCCCTCGGTATCACTTCCAATAAGATTTGGAGCACTGATACTTTAGTTACCTGAGTACCACTAGACTCTCACATTAAGTGCAACTGTGTGTCACCCTGTGCCAGTTTCCCATGCCTCTCAGCTCCAGATTCACCCTGCATTGCCTGGCCTTGGAGAATGGAGAGAGCCCTTTAAATGTGTTACCTTTTCCAGCTGGTCTTATACCAGGCTGTGTTAGCGGAAGGCGCTGGAGAGAAACTGCAGAAGAAAGGGGTTTTTCTTACTGGTTCTGGCAGCTCACTTGTCTCTTGCACCTGGCAGGGCTTCTGTAGCACCAGGTTTCTGGTGGCACCAAGGGCTTCAGCAGTGCCCAGCACCTGCAGTAAGGGTGACGTCCTCAGCCCCAAGCCTCTCAGGGTATGTGGTCAGCAGCACCCAGTGGCCAAGAGCTTTGCCTTGTCTCCCCCCAGGGCAATCTCATAGTCTGGTGTCTTGTGTCATAGAGACATCACTCTGAATAGCTTTCCCTGGCACTCTGAAGGGAAGATTTCCAGCCGGTTCTTCTTGCATGGCACCACAGCAGCTTCCCT